ATTTTTTGGTCGCTACCCGGAATCGAACCCGGGACCTTTGAATGAGAGGCCAACACCTTAACCTCTAGGCCACGAGAGCCCCCTTGCCTGTGTTTGTGTGTGTGTGTGTGTGTGTGTGTGTGTGTGTGTGTGTGTGTTTGTGCGCCTGTGTTTGTGTGTGTGTGTGTGTGTGTGTGTGTGTGTGTGTTAGTGTGTGAGTGCATGTGTGCTTGTGTGCGTGTGTGTGTATGTGTGCGTGTGTATGTGTATGTGTGTATGTGGGTTTCATACCTCTGTATAAATGCGGTTTAATCTTTCACTTTTTTGTCTGTCTACGGTTAAGGCGGGACATAAACAATTATTTACTCTGTTTAATCTACTCGGATCTTTCCGTGCCAATCCGAAAGTGTTAAATGACCACAGGATCTAAAAACACACTAATTTAGGCCTCTGCAAATTAAGCTTCAGGCACAACTTATTTGATGTTAGACTGTAGTGAGTCAAAAAAGTAATAGTGATTATAATTTGAACCCACATTTAAAAAATGATCAAGTTTTTGCAAAAATATTTTCGTTTGGTCTCTGGCCTGCAAAAGTAATAAGTGGTATGAACATTGGCAAATTAATTAATGCATTCGAATTTGTTTTAATCATTGACAGACAAGGATGAACAAGCTATTATAGTAGCTGAATCGTTATTTACAGACAGATTTGTAACATTTGCAGGTGAATACACAAGTAGAAATAAAGTGATCAATTAAGTTTTAGCCTTTTGGCCTTCTGGTTGTCATACAAAAAGCGACCATTTTGGAAAGAGATTCTAAAAACTAACCAAGTCAAAATGTTATGTTGTCCCCCTCTTAGAGGGGGTGCTGCAGTTAGAAATGCCGGTTTGGGGCCAAATTACACATTATGAGATAATTAAACTTTAAAATTCCTGGACATGTCCAGAACAATATCTAGAAAGGTACACAAGCCTCCCGGCACCCTAAAGCAGATATAAAAAGTTCCTCTTACGGAAAGTGTGATCTTTGTCTTTTCAGTGTGCATACTAAGTAGGAACCTAATCTGTTAGTAAATAAGGTGGGAAAATGATACCACATTATGTCTCTAAAATCCAAAATGGCCACCGTTTCCATGACAACCGAAACAGTAATTGTTTTTACAATAGGTAACAAATCTCCATTACCATATAATCGTCCACACCAGATATAAGCTCTTTAGGAGTGGTATTAGCCGAGAATAGGCTCATTCTGTAGCACCCCCCCCCCCAAACCCTCACCCCCTTAAAACTGTAGTTCAGTTGTCGTTGGACGTTTTACAACTTCATGATTTTTTTTATTAGCTTTTTTTTCACAATAAATGAAGATCTCAAATTTTACATGAATTAACAACTACATGGAAAAATAGTAAAAGTGAAAAAAAGAGAGAGAAGGTAGGAAGAGAGAACGAAAAAAAAAGAGAGAAACAAAGAAACAAAGAAAGAAAGAAAGAAAGATAAAAAGAAAGAAAGACACATAAAGTTTCTTTGAGCAGGTTCGTGACGGTGCCCTTTAACAGAACCCTCCCACTCTTCGGTCCTCGTACCTGGAGACATGACAACTACAAGGACCAGGGAAACATCCTGCGCGAACCTACTCGGACAGTGGTCAAGACCGTGGACGCAGGGGCTGGCAGGGTCACCAACTACACGAACGAAGGCCACAAGATGAATCCATGGTGAGTTCAATGTCATGTGAAGGAACAGGAATGTGAGTGGGTACGTAATGTGTGCTTGTCTGATTGTGTGTGTGTGTGTATGTGTTGTTGTGTGTGTGTGTGTGTGTGTGTGTGTGTGTGTGTGCGTGTGTGTGTGTGAGAGAGAGAGAGAGAGAGAGAGAAATAGAGATCGATATGAGAGTCTAGAAAGAATGTATCTTTCTTACTTATTCACAGAAAGAAGGAAGAAGGCATGAAAGCGAAGACTTCTTGAAACTTAAAAAGTAGCAAATTGTTTGATTCAATCTCTTTTCAGTCTGTGTTCCAGCCTTTCTCTCTCTCTCTCTCTCTCTCTCTCTCTCTCTCTTTCTCTCTCTCTCTGTCTCTCTCTCTTTTCTCTCTTTTTTATTTTCGTTTTCCTAAACCTCTCCCTCACTGTGTCTTTCTCTCTAATCTCTTTCATTTCACTTTGCAAACTCACGGCTCAGGCATGTATAACTTGTTTTATCATCTGGGAAGCTAACTTTAATTACCAAAAAAAAAGCCTAAATAAAAACAACATAGGACGCCCCCCCCCCCCATACACACACACAAACACACATACACACACATTTCCTATAATGTTAAACAAGCATTCATCAATAAGTGCATGACACGTTTTAAACATACAAATTATGCAGGAACGGACATGCTTATTCGACAGTGTGTATATGTTTGTGTGTGTGCATGTGTGTGTGTGTGTGTGTGTTTGTGTGTGTGTGTTTGTGTGTGTGTGTGTGTGTGTGTATGTGTGTATGTGTGTGAACAAAGAGGGAGGGGGCAAAAGGTGAGGGGGTGGGCATCATGATTGAATATAATTAGTTAGGGATAAATTCGAGGTCACATAAGGGTGCAATAGGAATAGTGCACGTGAAATAAAACGAACGAACATATTACAATAACTCTCTCTCTCTCTTTCTCACTCTCTCTGC